ACTGGGAATGGGAATAAAAAGGAATAAAAAAGGGAAAAAATGGAATTAAGGGAATAAATGGGAATAAAATGGAATAAAAGGGAATAAAAAAGGGAATAAAAAGGAATAAATGAGAATAAATGGGAATAAAATGGAAATAAAATGGAATAAATGGGAATAAAAAGGAATAAAAAGGAAATAAAAAGGAATAAAAAGGAATAAAAAGGAATAAAAAGGAAATAAAAAGGAATAAAAAGGAATAAAAAGGAATAAAAAGGAATAAAAAGGAATAAAAAGGAAATAAAAAGGGAATAAAAAGGAATAAAAAGGAATAAAAAGGAATCAAAAGGAATAAAAAGGAATCAAAAGGAATCAAATCTCTTTTCCCCTCACCTGTGGCCGGGCGGGGTCCCCGAGGTGGCCGAGTCCCCGCTGGGCGTGGCCCCGGCCCGGGTGTTCACCTGGGGAGCCCAGCTCAGTCATTAATTAGCCATTAATTAGCCATTAATTAACCATTCATTAACCATTCATTAACCACCCACCCCGCAGGGAGGAAATAAGAACTAAAAGGTAAATAATGGTGAAAAAATACTGAAAAAATAAAAGGGAAATAGTGAATAAAAGGTAATTAATGAATTAATAAAAGGGAAATAATAAATAAATGAATGGGAAATAATAAATGAATGGGAAATAATAAATAAAAGGTGAGTAGTGACGAAATAAAAGGGAAATAATGAATGAAATTAATGAATTAATAAAAGGGAAATAATAAATAAAAAGGAAATAATAAATAAATAAAAGGGAAATAATAAATAAATAAATGGGAAATAATAAATAAATAAAAGGGAAATAGTGACGAAATAAAAGGGAAATAATGAATGAAATTAATGAATTAATAAATAAAGGTAATTAATAAATAAATAAAAGGGAAATAATAAATAAAAGGGAAATAATAAATAAATGGGAAATAATAAATAAATGAATGGGAAATAATAAATAAAAGATAAATAGTGACAAAATAAAAGTTAAATAATAAATAAATGGGAAATAATAAATAAATAAAAGGGAAATAATAAATTAAAGATAAATACAGGCTAAATAAAAGGTAATTAATAAATAAATAAAAGGTAATGAATAAATAAATTTGACATTTCAATGAGTGGAACACAGAATAAATCAATTTTAATACAAC